AATTTATTCAATATACTAAATCAATTTATTATATTCATTTATTTGGTAAATATTATTACTTATTATGTTATTTAGTATATTTATTTATTAGTATTATTTAATAAATTTATTTAATATTTGATAGATGTATATATTTAGCAAAGATTTGTTTATTTCTTATATTATTTAATATATTTATTATTGGATCAATATTTATTTAATACACAAATAAAAATTAATTATATTATTAAACATATTATTTATTACATTATTTAATATATTTATTATTTAGTAAATATTTTGAATATAAAAATAAAATTTAATCATATTATTTACTATATTTATTTTATATATGTTATTATATAATTTAATTTACATATTTATTTAGTAAATAATTATTTATTTATTATACTATTTAGTTTATGTATTTATTTGGTAAATATTATATATTATATTATTTAATGTATTTATTCTTTTGGTAAGTATTATTATTTATTATATTATTTTATATATTTATTTATTTGTTAAATTTTATTATTTATTATATTATTTATTTTATTCATTTCTTTTATAAATATTTATTCAATATTAAAATTAATTTAATTAAATACGTTAAATATTTATTTAGAAAATAATTAAATACTATTTATTTACTATAAAAAAATTATTAAAATATAAAATTAGTACAAATTGAATAATATAAATTAGATAAAACGATATTGGTGGATATATAATTGAAATTAAAATTTTAACAAATTGTTTGCTAGCTCAAGTGGTCCATGAACTCTTTTACTCCTCTATTGGACATGGGTTCGAATCCCCTTGTCAACATATTTTTTACAATTATGCCATATAATCGCCACCTAAGCATACAACTCAGCAAAAAAAAAAAACAAAAAATGAGCTGGACATGGGTTCGAATCCCCCAGTAATTCTATGGAGCAATCGGATGGCTCCGTTATGGAGCCATCCATAATTTTATATACTGACACATGTCCAATGTGCATTTATTGCAGGACACGTGTCAATACATTATTTGTGAACAACAATGGATGGCTCCATAAGCCTAGCCATTGGATGGCTCCATAGCAAAACCGTCGAATCCCCTTGTCAACATATTTTTTACAATTATGCCATATAATCGCCACCTAAGCATACAACTCAGCAAAAAAAAAAAACAAAAAATGAGCGCATTTCCACGTAGGCGTAGCAGGTCACTGTGACCTGCTGTTGGCGGTCAGAGGACCAAAAAACTAATTTTTTTTCAGTTAGGGGACTATTTTTAAAAACGGTCCATTTACGGGACCAAATTGAAAACTGCCTGCAGATAAATGACGAAAAAACTTTTTTTTCCCATCTCTATTCTCTGTCCCTCACAAAATGGAAGCAAAACAGATTGTTTTCTTCTTCCTTCTCTTCACCGTTATCATCACCGTCTCATTTTCATCAGAGCCGCTCCAATACCAAGCCTTCATCCCCACCTCACTCCCCAAAGTAGCCCAAGATTTTGAAACCCTCTCCTGGGACATGCCTCAACAATTCTCTGATTCCGAATCCGAAACCCCACTAATCGTGCTCCGCCTGCACCACGTTGACCACCTCTCCCCATCCTCCAACTCCACCCCTGAGTCCCTCTTCTTGAATCGCCTCCAACGCGATGCCGTCCGGGCCAGAACCATCGCCTCCCAAAAAACCCCAAACTTTAGCAGCTCCATAAGCTCCGGCTCCTCAGTAGGTAGCGGCGAGTACATCACCCTCATCGGGATCGGCACCCCGGCCAACCGCTTCTACCTGACCATCGACACTGGCAGCGACGTCACCTGGCTTCAGTGCCAGCCCTGCCATAGATGCTACCGCCAGCACGACCCCATCTTCGACCCCAAAACATCCACCTCCTTTGCAAGTGTCTACTGCAACTCTCCCCTCTGCAACCTCATTGGCCCACTGGGATGCACAAACCAGCGTGACAAGTGCCAGTACAGGGTCATATACGGAGACCAATCCACCACCTTGGGTGAGTTATCCACCGAGACGCTGACCTTCGGAGCCACCAAATTGCCGCATCTCCCCATCGGCTGCGGCCATGACAACGAGGGCTTGTTTGCCGGGGCCGCCGGTCTGCTTGGCCTCGGCCAGGGGACACTGTCCTTCCCGGCCCAGGCCCGCATAAACAAGTTCTCCTACTGCCTCGTGGAATGGGGGTCCAAGTCGCGGTCGTATTTGATGTTTGGCGACTCGGCGGTCTCCACGAAAGCGTTTTTCACGCCGCTGCTGAACAATCCCAAGATGAACACCTTTTACTACGTCGAGTTGATGGGGTTCTCGGTTGGCGGGAACCCAGTGAGGGGAATCAATCCGTCCCTCTTCAAGTTAAGCAGCTCGGGCTCCGGGGGCGTGATTGTGGACTCTGGCACGTCCGTGACCAGGCTGGTCCAGCCTGCCTATAACGCGCTGAGGAAAGCATTCAATGACAGTGCTTCTTCTTACCTGAAGCCGGCCAAGGGATTCCAAATCCTTGACACATGTTTCGATTTACGCGGGCTGAACGATGTGAACGTGCCAGCAGTGGAGCTGCACTTCCAAGGCGCAGGCGCTGACCTGTCCCTGCCGGCGTCGAATATCCTGATTCCAGTGGACAACAAAGGCACGTTCTGCTTTGCGTTTGCGGGCAAGACCTCGCCGGACAGGCTGTCCATAATTGGTAATTTTCAGCAACAGGGCTTCCGAGTCAGTTTCGACCTGGACAAAAAGAGAATCGGCTTCGCACCCGAAAGCTGTTGAGTGCTACACAAAAAAGGGGTTATTGAGTGGGAAATAGAAAAGAATTTAAGCTCCTGCATACAATTTCATGTTATAATTTTGGAAAATAAAAATAAAAGTATATTCAATTGAATAAATATATTTGATTTACGTTGCTTTAATTAATCTGGTTTATCGTTTCCTATCCCTTTTTTTCTTATGAACTCGCAATTAATTAAACTAAATAAAGTTTAATTAAGTATCCTAGTGATAATACTCTTAAGGATGACTAGTACGTACCTCATGCGATGCATAAGACATAGATATTAAATGAGTTATTTTCAGTCTTTTCCCGTTTAAGTCCAAAAAGTAATAGGATTATTATCTATTTTCTACCCAATTTAATCAATGTTAAGTCTAAAAAACAATAAGGTTATAAGTTTTTTTCCATATCTTTTAACCAACGTTCTTTTTTTAGTCAGAACATTAAATATGAGCATGTTAGGCTAGCTTGTAAAATAATTAATATATTATCTCAGTAAGATATTTATATTTATAAAAATTTAATTTTAGCATTTAAATTTATCTCTTGATATAAGAGAAAGTATCCGTTTTACTTATTCTTGTTCACTATATAATATTTAATTATTACTTTCTTATATAATAAAAAAGAATACTGTTAAATAGTGTAGTAGAATTGTTATAAAATTATATGAATTATTATTATTTTTTAACAGTATGGATTTAATATCTTTTTATGGTTTGATAATATAACTATAATATATTTTCAATGATATAATAATTTACATTAGTATAGCTAGAATGCTGGTTGTAAATAAAAAAAAATATTTATTAGATGCAGCAAGCATTCTGCTATAAGATAAAAGTTTTCTCGTTACGATGAGGTTTTTATCCATCATGTTCTTGTACACATCTATTAGATTAGATGCAGCCAACATTCTGCTATAAGATAGAGATAAAGGTTTTCTCGTTATGATGAAGTTTTTTATTCATCATATTCTTCTACACATTTATTAGATTAGATGCAGCCAGCATTCTGCTATAAAATAAAGGTTTTCTTGGAGCGGGATGCATGTCAT